CAAACTGCTCTTAGGAGCAAGCCAACAGTGTCCCTCCATCGAATCTCTCTTCTCCCCAGTGTCTCCCTCTCACCAGGCATCTTGAGGATCACTTGCTCCGCCCTCTTTGACAAAGCCATGGCCATTGCCCCATTGGTCCAGACCTGCAGGGGCATGGACCTTGGCTGGTCATGGCCTCCTCAAAAACCTTCTCCCTCCACTTCGGTTGTCCGAGCTCTTGGGTGGTTCTTTTTTTAGACTCCCTTGGGCGTTCTTCTGCTGAACGCTGGGGCTGTTCTAGCTCCCGCCCCAGCCTTCTGCTGTCTCCACCAGAGCTCCAGTCAGATCCATCATCTCCGCTCTGCAACTCCCAAAGACAAGCCAATGACTTGCTGAACAAGGTCTTTTGCTAACCCTGCATGATTTCCTAACCCCAAATCACTTTATGTGCTCTTGAACCTTTTACCCTGACTTGACCTCAGGCCTTTAAAACTCTGCATGTCCTAAATTAAAACCATGTCTTCCCTGAGGGATCACCTCAGTGCATGGCACTGGGTCTGCCCCCCTGCCTGAGCCCACAACCCAAAGTCACGCAGCCTCCTTGCGCCTTCCGCCCTCACCCAGCCCTCTCAGGAACTGCCGATTCGACCTTCCGGCACCTGCAGCCTTCCATGCCTCCCCATTGGAAAACTGCAAGAGCCTTTCCCAATGGCTCCTGGCTGGCAATGTCAGCCTGAGAGCAGAGATGTGAACCGCCAATGGCATCACGTCACCCACGCCTTACATCCATCCCTCCCTGCGGCCTTCCTCCCCTCCAGGACAGGTGAGGGGTTCCTTGTGTGGCTCTCCAGGCCTGTCTGATGTGACCTCAGTGCTCCTGTCCAGGCTCTTGGCACCTGCTCTTCCCCTCCCAGCCCCCCCAACCCCCGCCTGAGCACTTCCTCCGGGAAGCTTCCCTAACTCTGCAAGCCAGGGAAGGACGTTGTCCTAGTTGTTCCCATAGCATCCAACCCTCTAGCACTGTCACACTGCATTATAATTATCACAATTACCACGAACCCTGGTGGCATCGTGTTTACGCATTGGGCTGCTAACAGCAAGGAGCGGTTGATCATCCTCCAGAGAGAGAGGTGGGGCTCTCTGCTCCCCTAAAGAGTGACAGTCTCAGACGCCTACAGGGACAGTTCTCCTCTGTTCCACAGGGTCCCTATGAGTCAGACTCACTCGATGGCAGGCGTTTGGGTTTAGAACAACCTGTTTATGTTTTCTTTCCCACTCACCTGCAAGTTCAAGAAGCAAGACCCGAGGTTGGGTCTTGTAAGGACTACTGAGTCTCCAGCACCTGTTCTATTTCCCTTTGGAAAGCTAGTGTCGCAGAATAAAGACACCGAGGAAGGAAGGACACGTTGTATCTCGTGCTACTTGTCCTTGGCATACATACATCAGCAAGACAGTAGACAGTGGCCTTGGCTCTGTCACTTACTCAGGGTATTTTGTGGGGTGAGACAGTATTTAAAATCATAAAATATGAAGATGTGACGGACCACAGTCATGTAAGGCACGGCCTGCTTTGTTAGGGAGAAAACCAGGACCAGAAGCTCAGGTTCACACTGCTAATGACAACTGGTGCTCAAACGTGTGCCTTTTTTTAGCCTCAGAATAGCTGTCATAAAAATGTTATTTTACTAGAGGAGGGAACTGTACTAGAGCTTAGATTCTGACCACTCGGTCCACACTAGGCTGTGGATAACAGTGAAAGCCCCAAATCCTTTTGCAGTGTCCCCAGGAGGATGACGCCTCTAGATCCTGTGCGTCGGGAC